ATATTAGTCAAATTATAAACTTACTTGATACAAATTTAACATATACTTAGGTTTCACTCTTAAGAGCTTCACTTTCTTTTAATTTTCTTAAGTCAACATTCCTAACTATATTCAAGAAACCTCTATTTATATACTAAATTTTAAAACTAGATTTTAAACAACTATACTTAATAACCAGATTATTTATTTCAAAGCTAAATACAATTGTAACAAAAATTAATCACTTGTCAAAAGAATCCACTATATTTTTAATACAAGCAAAATGCTTATTAGATGTCAGTACTATAGTGATATACAAAAAATTCTAGTACTAGTACAAAAAGCAATAACTCTTTAGACATATCAAAAAAACAATTAAAATCTCTTGGCCAATGTTCTGAAAGAAATCCTAGCCTAACTATATTTTAAAAGACTTACAAATTCTATACTTGCTATTAAAATTAACAGTAAAGATACAATTAATATTCTTTTATATCTCAATATCAATATAATAACTAATATTAAACAAATTTTCAAAATAGATCAATTCTTTATTATCATAAACCTAGATATCAAGAATGGCCATACAATAGTAAAAACAAATAAAATAACACTTACTTGCTACTCTAAATATAAGTAACCTATTAGTACTCTTTAGTTTTAATCAGAATATTAGCAGCAGTCAAAAACAATATTTATGTGTCAATTAATTTAGTTAAGATTTTCAATATATTCTCACCAAGCTATATTAATTGTAAGATTAAAACAGCTTACAGTTACTTAACAGATTGTATCTCTACTCTCTGCAGTTCAAAAAAAATTAGTTTCCAATTAAACAAACTCGAATACATTCTCAATCTTCAAGAAAATAATTCAATAATCTGCATAGATAACATAATAAAAACCAACAAGCATATCACAGAATTACAAATTAAAAATATGTAAAGCTATAATATAGTAATTTGAATCAAAAGAGTTTAGCTTTTTTATAGGCTTATTAATTAGAAGCCAATAGAACTAAACATTACAGATATAAATACTGTAGCATCTTATATTTACAAATAACCTACTGATTAAAAAAGATAAATATAATTTCTTTTCATTACTGACCTTTAGAAACAAAATTCTAAGTGCAATTTTTTTAACAAGAAAACTACTATATGAAAGATACTAGATACCTATCAAGATAATCTTTGTTCCAGGTATTTAACAACACTGAAATTTAGAAGCATATTTTGAATATTACAAAAATATAAAAAAATATAAAAAAATTGAGACTAAAATAAAATCCAAACTCAAGAGGCTTTTAATCAAATCCAACATAATATTTTTTACTATACAGATTTCAACTTTAATAAAAAATCATAATTAGAAAAATTAATATACAGCATAATAGTTTTTAATATTTAATTTTCAAATAAAAAACTAGTCAAAATCCCAAACAGCACTCTAAACATTTTTTATATAATAATACAACTACTCAGATTAACAATAGCAAACATATCAATAGCATCAGGTATCAAATAGTCTAAAATCTAAAGCACACCATAAGATAAAAAAGACAAAGACTTATCAAGTTTTATCCAAAAACAAGATTTACTCTAACAAATTATTCTCAACAAATTTACAATATATCAAATTAAACAATATACTTAAATTGCCTAACTTACTATCAGCTCTAAAAGAATATTAATTATTCAACATTGGAGCTAATCTGAGTTATATCAAGTGTAATAAGAATAAGAATAATTAGTATTATAGATAGATTAATATTAATCTACATATATTATATAGAGATATTTGATGTAATTTATATATCAATTTATATACTTAATAAAATTTTGCATTTAATACTTTTTTATAATAATAAAAAAAAACTTTATAAAACTTAATATTTAAATACTTAATATATACTAAACAAATTTTATTAATATCAAATTATCTGTTAAAACAATAGTTATAAAAATCAAATAGATATTAAAATTTTGATAAAAAATTATAAACACAATAATAACCTATAAATCAATAGCACAGTGATTAATACTTTTAAATTTAAATTATAAAATATTAGTTCAACTTCAGATAAATACATTTAAACTAAATTAAAAATGATATGTAATACTATAATTAATTAAATATTATTTATAAAAAACAAATTCAATTCTAAATAAAGGCAATTAAACTAAATTAAAAATAATATTTGGTATTATGATTAATTAAATACTATTTTTTATAGAAAGTTGGTTTATATGCTAGTTTATAAAAAACAATCTTATTTTAATTCTCTAATAAGTCTCTTCCAGTATTGATTATCTTATAAAAATAGATATAAAATCCTTGGTTGATCAATATCTTAAATAGAAAAATAATTGTATTTTTGATTAATGACTGTAAATATTTTTAAATATCTTTTGTTTTTATTAGAATAATGAAAATTAAATAGTAATTTCCAGTTGTAAGTAATGATAGAATGTAATTTTTGACAGATTTAGTAAGCTAGATAGGATTTTATTCACTAAATATAATATTACTCTAGTCTCCATTTCTCTTTTCTTTTACAATTGTATAAACCCAAATAAAATCTAATTCAAATCCAATCAAGAAGAAAATACATATTAATAGCACTTAGATATATTAGTTTTTTAATTGAGAGATAATAAGTTATATGGTGGAAATTTCTAAAAAATTAATCAAATAACTTTACTATAAGGTTTAAATAGTATTATACATGGAAGAAATAAGTAAAAAAATAGTTTGTAACTTAAAAAGTATGTGTTTTATCTAACAAACTCAATAAAGCAAACTTTGACAATGTTTTAAAAAAAATTAAATACAATAATAAAGTTTTGTTTAAATTTAATAAAAAATTTACTATAGATAGAATTTATTATGAAAAACAGTTTACTTAGGATATAAAAATTATTTTTATTAATAAATGAAAGGTTTAATATATTATAACTATTTCTGATTAGTTATAATAATTTTTAAATAGTCATAACAAGTATCAACATTATTAACGTCGGATGCATGACCCATCTTTGTTAATTTTTGATAATGTTCAAATTTCTTATGTCGATCCTTTTCACTATAATTCCAACATCATATACTTGTATTCTCATTTAATTACTAATCTTGGATAATCTTCGATAATGTTCAAATTCCTTATTCCATTCTCTTCAATTAACCCAATTTCATCGAGATAACAATGGCTAACTTGATAAATTCCATGTACATGATGTCTCCCATATGGTTGATTTTTGATAATATTCGAATGCCTCGTGCTCACACTTTCAATTTTAATTCGGTTGAGATAATAATTGACAACATTATTTATTCCCAATGTTTTTACCCATATCGGCTAATCTTTAATAATATTCGAATGCCTTACGATCATCCTTTTTGACTCCTATTCATTTTTCATAACAAATGCTAACATTATTTACACCTATTGTATAACCTATCTCTCTGATCTTTAATAATATCCAAAAACTTTATTTTCATTCTTTTTGACACCGGTTCCCTTTTCATAATAAACACCAACATTAATAACTCCAGGTACATGACCCATCTCGGTTAATTTTTGATAATATTCAAATTTCTTATGTTCATACTTTTCAACTATTGGCTGTGTAAATCGTTTAGATGCATAGTATGGTTATAATATCAATAAAATCTATAGCATCAATGCCTATTTACCTTAAATAGTAAAAAATCATAATTTAGTATATTATGCATTTTAATTTGTATTAAAAGTTATGATTAAAAAATCTTTATTGACACTGTATATGTTACCTTTTAAATTCAAATTATTTTTTGCTTCACAAATTAAATAAATACAGTATAATTAACAAGATATTTAACTATTAATCGTTAATTTTTTAAAAAAAATATTATACATATAATAAATTTTAAAATATTTTTTAAAGTTATATATAATATTTTTAAATACTTGTTTTTACTTAATTAGTAATAGTTTTGATTTTGTCCATTAATATACAGCATATACATACTCTAATAAATATTATTTATAAAAACATTAAACATTTTAGTAAATACAATACTAATAAACTATATTGTATAGTACAATTGCTATTGAGAGATTTAGTATGGTGCGGAAAGTCTAATCGCATCAACTTTGTATTAGTTAGGAAATTATCCTATTTAGGTGATTTTACTAATAAAGGTAATATCTTCTATTCTATTAAGATTATAATGCCTGTCGCTAATTCGAAAAGGATGCTACAATAGTTGAGAAGACATGAGTAAATGCTAGGTGGAAATGCAAGAAATAAGATCAAAAGGACTTCATGCGCGTAAGCCAAGATTATTGTATTATTTTGTATTATTTTGTATTATTTGTTTTTTATTTAAAATATCCAGAAAAAAATACAACAAAGGCAATATTATAAGCAAGTCAAATAATCATTATTAAAAATCCCGGTATATAAAGTTCTAACAAGCTATTTCCCATTTCGAAATTAACCTTTGTCTTTTAGTTAGCAAATAAAGATTCGAGAAGTTAGACCAACTTAGCAGTTTAGCCTACTACAATAGGTTAGAGATTGGAACCAATTTTATTATAGAATTCAATTTTATTTTTTGTTAAATTTTAACTTCGTTTAATTTAAATTAAAATAAAAATTATTATTTATTGTAATGAACTTTACAAAGAGTGGATTAAACCGAATTTAAATTTGACTGCAATATATTGGTCCCAAACTCTACAATAAGTTATTAAATCAGAATATTACAATACTAAATTTTATATAAATTTTATATAAATTTTAAAAAGCCTCAAATGTGTTCGGAAAATAAAGGGCTCTTTGAGACTTCAATAATTCCACTTTATTGATTTATCAATTAAAGATGAAAACCAATAATTATTTAATTACATTCGCGTTGTAAAAACATTATCTGAATAAATAAATTCATAAAAAATTTTATTATTAAGGATATAAGGATAACTTTAGAGCTTTCAGGAATTACCATAGATAAATAACTCGATATAATATTAATATTGTTTATTCATTTTGTTCAAAGTTTTTCAATTCTAAAGTAAACGATTTATCAAGTTGACGAGTAATATATGCTAAAATTATAAAGTTTTTAGAAATCTTGTTTTTACACAAATATATTTTAAATAGATAATTTTAAATAGATACTAACACTGCATACCGTCATTACTTGTTCCGATTTTATTAACGACATTCCTTCCCAGTTGTCTGGTATAATCAAGGAATTTGCTAGTAAGCAAATTCTGTGATGCCATTAGAGGTCGTGGGTTTTCCTCCAACTCCCTTAATCGTGCTCTCCACACTTCTTCTCGTTCTTTGGTAAATGATTGTAGTAAAACATGATCCTGGTCGAATTCATTCCACCACTTTTGAAATTCTTCGTACAACTCATTGGCAGTTGGGCGATTAGTAGGAATAGGGTTCCAACATTGATTCATTAATTTGATATATGGTTCGGGCGCATATTTTGGAATTGGCGGACGTTCACCACCACATAAAGCGAGTGCTAGGTGAACATCATACTCTCTGTCAATAAACGGTGGTTCTCCAGAGATTATTTCAAACATGATCATACCGAACCCATAGATGTCTGCTGCCTTAGTAAACTTTTCTCCACGTAATACTTCTGGCGCCACAAATGGCAAGACTCCATATAGTGATTGATTGACCGAATTTTCATTGGCTGGACGACATAAGCCAAAATCCGAAATTGTTGGAATCAAAGATCTTTTTGCTATAAATTCTATTCAAGACATTGCCACTATGAAAATCTTTATGGCAATAATTATTTTCGTGAATCTTATGCAACCCAAATCCAATATTAGAGAGCATATAAATAATTATTTTCCAAGTTATATTAGAGTAATGCGTTCGAATTAAATTTCTAAGACTTCCACCAGACTTAAACTCAGAGACTATAATATATTCTTTTGTTTGAGGATCGCGAGTAATACCATACAACCGGTTAATACCAAAGCTATTAAAATTTAAATTGCACCTAATCTATATCGAGTAGTTAATTAGATACATGAAGTTTCAATCTAATCCTTAAAAAATTATATTTTTGATGCATACCTCATTTAAAAAATCCAATGTTAGATTTGTAGAATTTCGAAGTCTTTTCAAGGCTACTTCAGTTTTACCAACTCGTTTCCATTTCGATTTTTCAATGCTCCACACGAACCCTATGTGTACTAATGGCCCGTCTTTCCAAATAGCTTTACTGACGCTTCCAAAACCACCATCTCCAATGTGTTTAAATTCCTCGAGATTCGAATAGTCTATCCATTCAATTAGTTCTTGTATACGATTTGCATTAAGTTGCGATTCTCTAATTAAGTTATCAACATTCAAGTCACCACTATTCCAAAATTCAAATTCATTACGAAAATGTTCGGAATTGCAAGGTCTGCAATAATAAGATCGAAAATCAGTAGGTCTAAAACAAAAAGATATATCTTTCTTGCATTCGGGACATTTTATTTCCACAATTTCTACTCCCTCGGTATTCATTATTCAGTTGGAATTTAAACAAACGATCCCATAATGGATGCTTAATAAATGCAGTAGGGTGGTAACATGTAACATTAATGTGTATTACAGTCGATTACGCAATTTTCGAAAATCAATGCATTCTAAGGTGGAATACGGCGAGTCTGTCACTTGCACACAGGTCTGGTCGTGAACGTCGCACAGCAGCTAAGTAGGCCCACTTTGCGCTATATGGACCAACACTTTTTTCTTCTTATCTTAAAAACGAAAGAGGCGACCGATCTTGGTCCGTATTTCACGTGATCCCGGGAGAAACTAAAAGAAGCACTACAAAAATAGAACACAATAGTCTTATCACACAAATAAACTTTATACAGTAGTGACGGAAAAAAACTGGCAGTAATAGTGATATATTTAAAATACTAGTTGTGTTATTACTTAATTAAATAACACGAATTAATTTTATTTACTTTTTTTATTCGTTACACGGATTATCATGTATAAAAATCGTGACTGCAACAGCCCCTTATTAATTTGTACAATGACATCATGCTGCATAAACTTTGCCTTAAAGAACATCGCTCGTTAGTTAAGTCATTATGAAAAGAAAAAATACAAAATGCTAAAGAATTACACCAAATTACCGGGTTCCCCATACGAACGTTGTTTAGATGGATCTTTCAGCTAAATAAAACAAAAGATTTATAACAAAAAAATCATCCAGGCCACCCTAAAATCCTTAGCCCAAACCAATAACGTCACCTCGGTCAGTTTGCTCATTCGCATGTCAATGTGACAAGTCTAGAAATAACAAATACACTTAATAATACCTATCCAGATCTTAATATAGCTAGTCGTACAGTTTGAGAAAACCTCTGGAAGCTTGGCTACCATGTATGTATCCCCTGAACTACTCCATTCCTTATTGTCATTGCTAAAGAATGAAAGGTTTCATGGGCAAAATGTTATAAACAGGAAAAATGGAAAAATACAATTTTTTCTAATGAAACGACAATACATATTTCAAAACATCACCCTAGTCCATTATAAAACTGGAGAAGAAAGACTAACATGTGGAATTGTCAAGTATTTATTTAAAGTTCATATGTAGGAGTCTTTTGTATACACAGAACTATCAGATTTCATTTATTAATAGAAAATATGGATGATAAGCTATATCGCGAAATTCTAATAAATAATCTTTTTAATCAAACTCAATAGATTTTTGAGAAGTTGTAAAAATTTTAGCAAGACAATGACCCAAACACACAGTCTCCTTTTTTTTCTTGAAGATCGATATTCCAAAGTTCTTAATTGGCCGTCATATTCTCCAGATTTGAACCCTATAGAAAATATATGAGCAATTCTAAAAAAACAGATAGAAAAGATAATAAATAAAAAAATTGGTGGAAAAAAAAAGTTTTTTCAAGAAATTTTTATAGAAATTATTAAAAATAAATGAAATAATATAGATCAAATACTTTGCTTTAATTTAATAAAGAGTATAAAAAAGCAGATAGAATTAGTAATTCAAAAAAATAGTGATGTTATTAAATATTAATAGTTTATATTGTGAATTATGTAATATTAAATTACTTATATTTCAAATTGAAGTAATTCTAATAAAAATTGATTAAATAAATAAAATTTTATTTACTGCCATTTTTTTCACCACTATTGTATGTTAAATATGCACACTTTTGTTGTTTATTTGATAATAGAAATCAAGTATACTCATATATGTTTTTCATTATCCCAATTATCCTAATCATCTTCTTTATCTTTTTTATATCTTTATTTTCATTACAATACCTGATATAACATTGCACCCTCTTTTTCACTATAACAACATAACTTATTCAGTTTTTCAAATACTTCATATCTAAATTATAATGCTAAATTAAAATATAGGATCCAATTTTTGACATCATATTGAAATGTATATATAAAATGATATTAATGGTTTAATTGTTAACACTGCCTCAATTTACAAAAACAGCAACTTTGAACTTTGAATTTAGATAATAGCAAATTTAAATTATTCAAGATTATTACCCATCTTTCTTATAAAAACCTTTAAAATTCTTTTAAAAGAAAAGATTATCAAGGCCAATGAAATTATCCTTGATGAACTCCAGAAAAACATTTAAAAAAACTATACAAGATTTTGGTCCAAGCCCAAAAATGCACTCAAGAAGGCTCTCAAAAATCTCAAGCTAGCATTAGATCTCTCAATCCTGTCAGATAAAGGCCAACTCCAAGACAACTCAGACAAACTTATAAAAATTATTACTAATTATTTCAAAAACACTTTAGAAACAAATCAATAATGAGTGGCAGCAGAAATATCTGTCTAAAAAAAATCTTTCAGACAAAATATTCAAAAGCATTCACAAAGAAATCACAATAAAAGAAATCAATCAAGCTCTTATAGATCTTCCCAATAAAAAAGCCCCAGGTCTGACATATATTTTAATAAAGCAATAATTAATAACAAAATTCCAAAATTCTATAAATAGTTAATAATTATCTTATTATCCAAAAAATTATCTGGTCACATAAACTAACTGATATATGTTCTATTTCTCTTCTGGAAACAAGTAAAAAGATATTTATAAAGATACTAAACAATAGATTATCAACTATTATCTCAAAATATAATATTTTATTAGAATATAACTTCACTAGTCTGAAGAACCAAAATATAATAAAATCAATTTCAATTATCTTTTCAGAAATTGAGATAGCAAATAATCTTAACAAAGAAATATAAGTAATATCATTTAATATATTCAAAGCATTTGACTTAGTAAATCTCTTCAGCTTGGAATTAGCAATAAAAAAAATAAGATTTTCAAATCAAACTGTTCAATTAATTCTTGATTTGCTTAGAAAAGAGAAACTTAAAATTATTACTTACTATAAACTTATAAATTCACTCAAAATCAATAAGAAAATCGATCAAGGAAAAACTCTTGTATTATTACTATAGATTATCTTTTATAATCCAATGGTTTGTACAGTCATCAATAATTCTATATTAGTTGAAAGTAGATTATTTGGCAATATGCTACTTGTCAATTATTTGGCATATAATAAATAATTTGTCAAACATTCATCAAACATTTATTAACAATTTGACAATTATTGTCAAATTTAAATATGCTAAATTATACTGAATATTTAATAAATGATTGATGAATTATTTATTATATGCTGAATAGTTGACAAGTGACATATTGTTAAATAATTAGATTTAAATTAGTGCTATTAACAGATCAACTATTTTAGTCTACATGGATAATATCATTATCATCAGTAAAAATATGAAGACTCTATAAAGTGCTATTAATATTTTTTACTCATTTCTGTCTTTAAACTTAATCAAATGTAACAAAAGTAAAATAGTACATATCCCAAGTCTGAAGCCTAAAAATAATCAAAGGAAACAAACTCTTATAGTCAAAAACATACTGGTTCAATCCAAATTATATAATGAATCTATTAGATATCTTGAAATCTACTTATTCAAAAAGTTCTTATCCATCACAACAAAAAATTATCTCAAAAAAAAAATTTCAAACTTTACAAAGCCATTACTAACTAAAAAAGATAGAATGGAGTAATCATAAGACAAGTCTTTTATTGAATAATATTAGTACAAATTGAGTATATTACTTAAATATTAATTCTCAATAATAATAATACAAAAGCCCTATAAACAAAATTTAACATGGTTGTCAAAAGTAAACTTGATATTGAAAAGACCATTTTAAACAAAGTTTTGTACTTATAAGCTGGTTTAGACATTATAAAACTTTAAGATAGAATTTATATAATAGCAGTTAAACTTTTAATATCAAAACTTGTCAATAGAAAAACCCATATTCTCTTATCAAAGAAATCAGATCACTCCAAGTATAACATGTCATTTGAACATGTTCTATTTGCAACTTTTTTTGCACAAATAACCAAAAAATATTAAATAAACATCTGTTTTTATTTATGCCTATTTGAGAACCCCAATTACAATCTTTTAATAGAATTAATAATAAGAATTAGCAAAGTAAATGCTCTCTTTCTTTACTATACAAACATTAAAATTATCAAAGATATATATATATACAATAACCATAACAAATTGTCATAAAATGAATTTCATATTCATAAAAGATATATATAAATTGGTTCAATACCAAAATAATTCAAGAATATCTTATTAACAAATTATGAGATTCTAAAAAACTCACTTTTGGTATCCAATTCAAAATCTTACTTTTAAGCATTTTTCAATAGCAGAATAATTAATCTAATTAAAGTCAAAAAAAATATGATTCAGCTGCAGATAGTTAAAAAACAGTACTATCAAATTCTACCTAATAAAAAAATTATACTATGTATATGCAATATCCAACCTTGTATTATAAAAAGAATATAATAAATATCAAATCAACCTGGATAACAATATACAGTAACAATTTACTTCTCCTAAACAGACTTAGTAAACTTCTTTTTTAACTTTCCTCTTTACTATTTCTCCTATCAACTATCATTATTATACATGTTTTCTTATTACTATAAAAGGAAATTTGATTGATAATATGATTGTGAATTAAATCTGATTTCCAATTACTTACTAATTGTTACTTAGTAATACAAACATAATATGGTTTTTGAAAAATATCTAAATTAAATACAAACACATATATAATCATTATAACAAACAATTCTCCTAATTATTTATTACTTCTTATAATAATCATCATCTTTTTTCTCAAAAAAAAAATTATTATTCAAAAATCCAATACAAATATACTCTATAATCCAAATACTAATCCTTAGTCATATTTTTGACCAATTCTATTAAAAAATCTACAGAAAACTCCAACTAATTCTACAATCCAATGCCAACTTCAAATTAAATCAAATCTAAATCTACCTGAATACACTAATCACCAGATCAAAATTCCATCAATCTTGAAACAAAAAACAAAAATATAAAACTTAAATAAATCACTAAA